TTCTACATAGTCTATTAACAGAAACTATTATTAAGCGTATGAGACGATAATAACAGCTGAACCTGTTTTTGGAGCCGAGCTATTAACGAAAGAGAAAGTCGATGAAGAGAATCGACCGCTTGGTCTATTTGAAAGTTAACGCGAGAAGTGTCCAGAAAATACTCTACAACAAATTTATGGTGGTTTTGACGTGATGGTTGAGTAATGTTGAGCTATTAAAGTGTTTACACAGATAAGGCTGGCAAGTTGTATATTGTTTAGAACGGTGATGCGCTTGGCATATATGGCCCACAGCGGCTCTCACGACGAGCAACTGAAATCCGATCAGTAGCGGTGCAACTTGCAGGCAGGCTTTCGTCGTGTACTGAAGAACAATCTACAACGCCATGCGCCGGAAGCACTGCTGCTGCTGCTGATGATGATGATGACAACTGGATACCACCACTTACCACACGCGGATTGAATGAACACCAAGTGTTCGGTGAGACCAGAGTGAATTCGATTTTTAAATCTGTGTTGGGGAAAGCGCTTTTCGCAGTCAATCGGTGATAATTTTCATTATTATAGCAACAGTTGTACATTCGTGCAATTTTCATTAGTGACCTTTTGAAAATTGAAAAAGTGTTCATTTTAGCAGATTCGTAGATAAGATTCCAATTTATTGGCTTGTTTAGAATTAATATCCACACGCTAGTGACAGAGTTATAAGTGGTCAAATCCTGACCACTTTTCGTAACGCGGTCGATTTTGACTTTTTGAAATTGCACCCCCATTATATTGTCGAAAGACGTAATCCTACGTCAAAAAATAAAACTAGCACACACCTACAACACATCAAAATCTAATCGACCGAGTGCCAAACCTGCATTTTCGATGGCGATCGCAACATCACACATATCCAACCTTACAAACCGATGAACCGAATGCGATCGAAGCCAACGTGCAGGGAAGCAAACTGGCAATTTCAACTAGAACGTACTTACCAAATCAATATATGTATCCCGATCACATGCTGCCCGGAAGCGCATTCCTGAAGCTTCCATGCATATATGCTTCCAACCAAAGCTAAAGGTGCACGATAATTAGGCAGAGTAAACTTTTCTTCTATATCACTTCAATTTTTTTTCGGCCCACTCCAATTAGGCAAAAGCCACTCCAGAGAACCACAACGGAATTGTTTTATATTCGCACACGACAGACAATACATCAAAATATAATCGGTTAAGCACCAAGCCTATTCGATCGCGATCTCAACATTCATCATCTCCGCCAAAACCAATCATGCATAAACACAAACAAATTATTGAAACTCTCACCCTACCGCAAACTGACCAACACACCCAACGTAGTAAACGTGAATCAACAGCAATGGTAAAAAAATCATAAAAACACCCCTCAACTGGAACGCACTCACCAAATCAATCTAATATCAACATGAAGCTTTAGTGTGATAGTTTATTAGCTAGAGAATGTTCTGAAGAGGGTAGGTTGATTGTTCCGCTAGAGTACAGCAGTGTGAAAAACTTGAATAGAAGTTGAAAATGTTAATGGCCCTTCGCACATTTTCAACTTCTATTCAAATTTTTCACACTACCGTACTTTTGTGGAACTATCAATCTACCCTCTTCAAAACTTCCTCTAGCTAATAAATTATCACACTAATGCTTCATGTTGCCCCGTAACGTGGGTAGATAACCTTTTCGTGGTACGTTACGGGATGTAAGATCTACCACCGATTCCTAATCCTGACTACTTCAAAGTAGGGGAACAGGATTTTTCAGTAAATAAAGGAACACATCTTAGTCCTTGTTACTTTTTATGCCTTGTTGATAGTGATAAGTCCTCGGGTTGCCTGGACCGAGGATGATCTTGAAACAAGGAAAAATGAGTTTGTTAGTCTTCACCTATGTGATTCTTAATCTTCTAATCGTTGTTCCCTAGTTTGAAGTGGTTAAGACTAGGGTTCTGATGCATGGTCATTATCGGTATCATAGCTTGTTTTTGTTGTTAAGGAATCCAATTTTGACTGACAAAGGGGCGCGCCTTTGGAGGGTGTTCCAACTCCGAAGGGTATAAATAGCGGAACCTTTCAATTAGAATCGATTCCTTGCGATGAAGGTAAGAATGACAACTGTATCAAAACCGAATACTTCATCATTTCTCAATAGTGATGGAGTAATACGACATGACCTAAACTAAAGACACGGGATATACTACAATCGATCAAAATTACTGGTCGCAGTAGTGTTATGTCCCGAACAGAGGAAAAAAAATGCTTCATATTGATTTTAGATAGCATATCCAACCAACTCTGAAAATCATATGAGTATGATATCCCGTATGAAGTAACAAAAAACACTTTGAATGGAATTTAATCGAATTATCACACGGTAGTACATACGACCTCTCTGGTCGGCTGCCCTCGCAACACTCTTGAAATTGAAAGGTGCTTTTTTTGGTATAAAGTTAATATGATATCAATATGATTCAAGGTCATATACCGTGGAAGCACCATATTTGACGCGGGTCCAAACTTGACGCACTTTCCAATCAATTCGATCATAACTCCTGTTTCGGTTTGAATTGCACCGAAATTGTAATTTTCTGTCCTTTGTTTACACTCATGCCACCCATTCATAACAAAAAACATACTTTGTTTATTGCTAATAAGAGCAATCAAAATCAAAACGAAAAAGCCATCTGTCAAATGCGTCATTTTTTTCTCATCGTAGCAACAACGCTAAGGAGCAAGTTTAATGTTTATTGTTAGTTTTCACGCAGAAAATCAGTTTTTGTGTAATAATACGTTACTAACTATTAAACTGTAAGTATTTTTAACGTTTAACAGCTGATTCAGCAATATATAGTATGTTTAGAGCACATTATTTAACGAAAATGTTTTGCGTCAATTTAGGCTCACAGTGGCCCTTATTATTTTCTATGTGAAACATGGAGCCCAAAACAAAGTACATGACCTACAGCAATACTGCACTCGGTAAAGCCGTGGACATGGCACGAAGAGGTACATCAGTTCGGAAATCTGCTGCCTCGTTTTTCGTTTCAAATTCGAGCGGAGAAAAAGGCAGCCAGAGAAGCGAAGAAATTGGCCGCAGCAAAACGTCTTGAAAATAAACCTAAATCTGCTCCAAAGAAGATGAAATTGATTGTTTGATCTTTAATGATTTGTATATTTACCATATTTCATCAACCATTCAATAAAAACTTGTTTTTTTGTTGAAATTAAGCTATTTTTTTAAGTGCGTCAAATAAAGAACACCTTGCGTCAAATAAGGCACATTACAGATTCTATGCGTCAAGTTAGGAACCCAAAGTACCAAACAGAAATTTATTATAACATCAAGAAATCAACAGATATTTACGTTTTATTTATTTTTCCTACATTCTGTATTTACTGAACTATTACTGTGTAAAATATTGATTGAATTGGTAAGATTCTCATTTTTTAGAACATGTTTGAATTTGAAATTGTCTTAACTGCGTCAAGTATGGTGCTTCCACTTTCTTCAAAATTTCAAGCAACTTTGCCGGAGACATCATTTGTCTACCTCTTTGCATGACTTTAGTAGAGCGATTATGCAGCTTTCGTAGACTATGACTGTTATATTCATTTATACCACTTATCGATTGTTCTAAAGACAAGGCCTAAACCTTGTTATACATTTACTTACCACTGCTTATCCTTCACTTGAAGATCTGTAGATATTAAGAAAAGAATAGGCTATCATTCGTAGTTGACTATCGTAGTGATTATATTTGAGAAACCTATAGTACCGAAAAACCCCAGTTCAAGATAATATGTATAAAAACTTGAAAGAATTGAAGTTTTGAAGTATACAGGCATCAAGGATAAACTATTCTTAAAAAAGTGTGTATTCAAAACAAAAATATGATGTCGCATACCGCATTATAACTGAAATAGCTTTTTCGGCTAAATTATCCATCTGAGCTGGTAAACCTAGTGAGTAGTAACCGCATTTGGTCTAATGGCATTCAGCTTATTGGCATTGGGCTAAATTCTCCATAACCAAAAACATTGCCCCTTTTCCCCTATTTCACCTTGACCATGCGCTTGGAGAACCGTGACCATTCATATCTTGCAGTACTGGTGCTGGTGCTATTAGGTACTAATATAGAAATACAGCTTTTCGCTAAGATTTTTGGTGCGTCTACTGTTAGGCCAAGCAAACAAATAGTGACCAAATTAACACAAACATAAAGACCACATAAAGCTGAAAATCCTCCAACAATCAAATACGAAAGATGAACAGCAGATAGGCCAAATCACTTGAAATGTAACGTCATAATCACTGGAAATAAAACTTAATTTTACTGTTATTACTTACATCTACTAATTAGGAAGGCAAGGAAACGGCGTCTTAACTTATTACGTTGCTGAAACGGTAACCATGCAACGTCAAGAGAACGCAGCAAACATTCGGCGGACCATACCCTAAAGCGTCCCATCTCGAGAGGGATGGAATTTATTTGTGGTTGGTCCGAGGGACCGTTGCGGTGAGGGGGAATCAGACAAAGACAATTTCGAAAGATGGGAAAAATGTGGGAGAGCATCCATTAAATAGGCGAAATGGACGAAAAACCTACCCCCACTAAGACCTAACATGATGATTGCCACATATTTATGGGTATTGGATATTAAATTTCATGCAACATATTTGTGAAACAGAGCGAGTTCTGAAAGTACAGTACATTTATGTTTCGTGTTGTATGGCGGGAGTACTCAAAGGTTAAACCAAAAAGCAGAAATATTTTCATGTGTAAAGCATATAAACAACGTTTCTGAATTACTGAATAAATAAGACAATCCAACCCGCAATAACGGTGAAATTAAGCACAACAAACATATCTGAATGTCATCTAAAACAATAGAATCATCTGATTCACCCGGTCAACTTGGCTTTCTTTGTTCTTCTCGTTGACGCTGAGCAAAATAAATGGGTGTTAAAATAGCAACAACGGTATTAACATTATTCTTGTTTCCGTTTATTTATCATTATCATTAGTATGCTCCCTTTTGTCCACCCTTGCTCGGTACGCTTGGACGTGGTGGGCTGCTATCCGGGCAGGTGCCGTCCCCGGGCGTAGCAGATTCGAGTTCAATGCTTGGCTGTAGAACCTGATGAGTGTAACATCGGTCTCTTCCGGCTGCAAATAATCGTCCAGCGTCCCAAAGAGCTGCACAGAAGAAAATGAGAACGAAATAGAAACGTTGGTTACTTTAATGAAAGCTCTCTAGAGATAAATAACTTTATCAGACAGGATGGTAGGCAAAGAAAAGAAAGAAGAAAAAATAAGATCCGGGTCAAACCTGTTGCTCGTTGCAGGTAATAAATCTAAGCACGGCAACGTGCTCCGACCACACCAGGTTACGCCATTGAATATCATACCGCTGTGCCAGAGGGACCATTACTAGCGCACTGAACGGTTCGTGACCGTAACTTGAACTCTGGAAGATGTCCAGCACCAGCTGGTATAGTCCGTGGTAGCTCTTCCGCTCCTCAAGCCGGGCATCAAAATCGAACCGTTCCCCACTGCACTGCACCTCGGCACGGAGGGCATTGATACGCCTAGTTATAAGCGCCGAGACGTCACCGTCTAGAAACTTGGAATCCGGTCCCAGGAAAGCTGTCATCAAGTACATCAATTTATGGGTGACAGTTGTCAGACTGATGGAGTTCAGTTCCAGTAATTCGGAAAATAGCAGCGATGTCTTGATGATCTGCTCCTCGGAAAAGTGCTGCAAATGAGCGGCGGGTCCTTGCTCAGCCTTCTCCAGGAGCATATACAACAACGAATAGGGCCACGTTCGAGCAAGCAGCGGGATGCGCCATCCGATGACAGTGTAGCTGTTACGAGTGCCGGAAAAGTTTCCCTGGTAAAGAAATAGATATGCAGATTGTAATGAGAGGATGGAGCTTCTGTTCAGCTGTTACGTTATCATAAACTTTAATCTCTGTTCTGCTTTCAGTGTTATTCCCGTACCTATTATAAAATGTATGCTAAGCAGTGCCCAACAAACAATTCACAGTCACAAATAAGCATACACATTGAATAAATGCTGTATAACAGTGTACAATGCTGAATAAAACAAGATGTCGAATTATGTGCTGAAAAAAGCTCATTGAGATCGATAGATGCGCCTTTATTCCGCCGTTTGCTCTGATATGATTAATTAACTTATTAAAAGTTTTATAAACGTTGACTGTCTTCCTGATTCAGAACCAGAAGTTTGATCTAATAACAAACTGAATAAGTGTAATTTTCACATACATTGTCGCTTTAATTCGACTGTTTTCAATTGCCTTAATAAAATGCTTTATTAGACGTCTTATAAATGTTTTCTAGCTCCATTATTAGATTTCATTGCATTGCTTTACAATATTGCCGTATAAAGGTGAATACAGTCAGCAAAATAGCTCTTATACCACTATTCGTCCATGTTTTAGTAGAATGCTTTGTAAATGCTTTATAAACGACGTATTAGATTCATTATTCCACATCACTGCCCAAAAACAATTCAGAGTCACAAATAAGCATATAGATTGAATAAATGCTTTATAACAGTGTGCAATGCTGAATAAAACGGGTTGTCAAATTATGTGCTCAGAAAACCTCATTGAGATCGATGATGCGCCTTTATTTCGCTGATTGCTCTGATTTGATTGATATACTTATTAAAATCTATACAAACGATGACTGTCTTCCTGATTCAACACCAGAAGTTTGAAATTATAACATACTGAATAAGTGTAATTTGCACATACATTGATGCTTTAATCCGACTGTTTCAATTGATTTAATAACATGCTTTATTATACGTCTAATAATTGTTTTCTAGCTCCATTACTAGATTCCATTGCATTGCTTAACAATATTGCTGAATAAAGGTGAATACAGTCAGCATAATAGCTCTTATTCCACTATGCGTCCATGTTTTAATTGCATGCTTTATAAATGCTTTACAAACGGCGTATTTATTCATTATTCCACAACAGTGATTCAGGCTAACAACAAAACGAAATTGGTAGCATAGTGGTTACCGTTTCCGCTTTCCAAGTAGAAGGTCGCGAGTTCAATCCCAGCCTCAACCCTTTTTTTTATTTATGTTCTACTCCTAATTAATTTAAATCGTAATCATAAATCGTATCACTCACGACAACCAATTCATAGATCTATTGAAAAGAATAGCATTCTTTCCATCGAAATTAGATAGATGGAGAGGTAACGTTGGTCTAATGTTAAACAACTATGAATGAATTAATCATTCTCACATCTCCTTGAATTAGCTAGAGCTACGGCTGGAAGTGCTGATAGGTTTTTAGATTCAAGCTTTTATTGCTTATTTAGCTGCTCATATGATGTATTCTAGGATAGCTCAGATGGCAAGGCAAGCGGCTGGTGATCGGAAGGTCATGGTTCGAATCCCATTTAACGACATGTGTGTGTATGTATGTATGTATGTAATAAATTCGACAGAAATAATGACACAGCAAAAATCACTAACGAAAACACCCTGCTCGTGCCGTTCTTATTTTCGGATTAATTATCCCGTAGTTGAATAATCGTTTAATAAATGTATAATGATGTAATAATTAAACATTATTTCACATGAGAATCAAGCGTCTATATATACACCTTTATACCATCACTGTTTAAGGAAGTACAGATGGTCTAATAAACGCTGAATAATCAAAAATTTGATCGAATAAGCTCTGTTACAACTTTTGTAAGTCGAATAAAAGCTTCTCGACATACCTTATTCAACACCAAATATTTCGATGTTGTGGTTGAATAAATTCTCCAGATTTGTGTGAACAAAGCCTGAACAGAAGTTATTATTAAAAATAGTACAAGTATTATTAAGCATGAAGTGGAATAAAATCGTCAAGAAGTCGTTTCTTCAATAGGCAATTGTTTGTTGGGTGGTGGGCACATTTTCATTATATTTTAACCTTTAATCTTCTTCCTCGCATTTCATGTTTATTGCTTATTGCATATTAGCTTATTGTGTGCTCTCAACTTAGTGTTCTTGATGCACTTCCACAGTTATTAATTGAGAGCTTTCAAAGCCTGTACCATTTTTGCATTTAGTATAATTATGTGGCAAGTACAATCACACTCTATGCCCAGGGAAGCCGAGCAATTTTTCAACCCGAGAAATCCTAGACCAGACCGGGAATCGAACCCAGCCACCTCCAGCATGGTCTTGCTTTGTAGCTGCGCCTGAACCTATAATGGAGGCCCTAAACCGTTAATCAACGACGTTAATTTTAGGCAACTATGGAAACGTAATATTAAAACGATGGAATGCTTCTGAAACCTTGGAAAAATGTTCTTCTACTGCATAGTTACTCAGATTTGCAGTCTTGCACGTGTTTCTTTAAGTCATAGGAGCGAAGCGACGGACAATAATAATAATATTGCAAAAACCATTGTCTCGTTAACTTTATGTCAACGAATTAATGATTCCGTGGAATATGCGAACCGTTAACGATCGCTGAATTATGCTTCGATAAATCATTTGTTGATTTTATGCATATAGATTTGTATAAATACTAGATTAAATCTACCATGCACGACATGCTAATTAATGGGCGTTGATAGATGGCAACTTCAATTAATGAAATTATGATCTTTCTGCGTGACAGAGCCGACAATAGATAAATTTCACGCCAATCGGGTTGGCAGCACCCTCTCAGATTCCAATGAAACATTGTGGATGCAAAGATTGTGTCTACTTAAGCAACTTTGCATACTTTAAAAAAATCTAGAATATCATTTGAACAGGGCGAAACTTTTCTTGAACTTTTTCTTAAAAGAAATATATAACTCAAAAATGATCTTTTCAAGAGTGATTTGTTGAGAATTTTGTGAGGTTTTCTGATCTGACAAAAAATCATAGCAAGCTTAGCTTAGCTTGCTTAATTAGCTAAAGTATTCGCACCAATAATGTTTTATACTAATTTTGAAAGGGTCTGGATGATATTTATCCGCTTTTGGATGAAATTCATCTGCTGAGATTTCATTCAGTGCAAACAGGAAAAAGTTTTTGTAAGAATAACTTTTTTTCCTGCAAATTACGTCTTGGTCATTTTTCATTAAATTGTAGCACTAAAATGTCACTCCTGATCGAAATGACGACTAAGACTAAGCTGATTGGATTTTTAGAAAAATTGCATGATCCCAAATGGCCGAATTTTTACAAAAATGTGAATGATTGCCCATAACTCACAACCAGTGCTGCAAAATCTCGACAATATACGGCTATATTTACTTTTCTGCTGTGGTCACTCATTTGAGCTAACAGTCATCATGAAGGCAAACCATGTCAATTGTTAGTGACAATGCTGGCACGAACCAGTGCCGATTTTTTTTTATCTAAATTTGAAACGAAATTAAATGACTTAAGCAAAACAACTATATGGAGCCGTTGAAGTGAAGAAGCATCTACGTCCTGAACTGCTTGGATAACAATAATGTGACTCAGAATGCACGAAATTACATTTTTTTTTTGATACCAGGAACCTTTGTAATTGACGAAAAAATGAATGAGATTTTGAAAAAGATTTTTTTAAACATCAAGTCTATCAGTGACTACGTGAAGAACAATTTTGTCAATATCGCGTGAAAGTCTGTCAATGACAATGAAAAATCTCAGCACTGCCCACAACTATGCAAAGTTTCATCGAAGACAACAAATCAAGAAGACTGGCAACTTTGCCAGAATCCAAGCGACAAATACAATGGCGCTGCGCTTGACTGAAGGTGGAAGCAACGCATAGAAAATGAGCAAATACACAAACCCTTCTTCTGAGGATGTAATCTTTGCTATCAAATTCGTTCGAAGCATTTACCTTTTAGCGGTAGATGACGCGATTGTACCTGTCTCATAGCGTTCGTATGAGAAAATGGAAGAGTTGCCAGTCTTCTTGATTTGTTGTCTTCGGTTTCATGCAAATCCGAGAAGGACAAGTATTTTTTAGGCCTGGTCTTAACAACCAGGAAGATCCATCGGAATCTGAACCAGTTGTCGAGTTGGCGTAAAACTAATCGCCTTTTTATTCAGCTGTTTCCCAGGAAATCGAACAAGCTTCCCTAGAAATTAGTGGAAATTTTATTCTGGTATTTCAATGACAAAATAGATGATTTCTAATCGCATCATTTTAACAATCCACCAAACGTCTTTTTTTCCCTTGATTTGCTTTCCGTCGATCTTGTTGTCCGTGCTGAGCACCAATGCCAGGGAGGCAGCCTGGACCCTACCTATCGACCCATCAACTCATGAACCGGGGACCCAACGGCTTTACTTCCCTTCCGAAGGAAGGCGTGATCAGAGATGTTATGCCTCAGAACATCCCGGCGGCGCCCACTGCGATTGAACCCAGGCCTGCTGGGGTGAGAGGTAATCACGCTTACCACTACACCACCGGCGCCACTAACCACCATACGTCATTTCAACAAATTAAGAACCCCTCCTCCCAGACATTAATAGTAAATTATAGGGGATTCATAGTACTTCTGGGAGAATTCTAAAGAAATTCTCTGGAGAATTCAGAGAAAATTCTTAGAAGAGAGGTTAAAAGGAAATCCCAGCAAATGCCAAGGGATTTTTCAAACAAATCCTAAGAATTTAACTCAGTTAAATCTGAAGACAAAAAAAAAACATTTAAACCAAGTCAGAGGTAGACTCGAAGGGAATTCCAAATTTGTGGAATCCTCAAGTGTTACAAATGAACATACCGCAAAACAACTCCGAAGTCCGCCAATTCCAGTCATCAATCATCTATGACGGAGTGATATTGTCGTGTCAAGAACGCCATCGACCAGCAGTCATCCCGGTCCTGAGTTTGAGCCCGGAAACGGGGTCTTCCA